GGAAAAAGTTATTTTAAAAATGGTCATTGAATTTTTTAATTGAGAAATTTAACGTAAAACCAGAATAATATATTGGAAAAGAGAACGTGGCACGCTCTTTAGGAAAAAAATCTTCATTTCATATTCATTGTTTATTATTTTTAATGTATTATAGGTTCTTGTGAAATACGCTCATTGCCATAAAAATTAGCGCACCAAGAAGGAATTCTATCGCTGCGAAACTTGGCATGCAGATAAGTCTCAAATTCAGTTTCGTCACAGAATAAGTAATGAAAATTTCCGTGCTAGTGTTGCCACCTTTTTAAAATCGCTGACCCGGACGGCAGGTGAGGTTTGTTGGATCAGAAGTTCCTGACGCAAGCGTATGTCATTTTGCAATGCGAAGAATAATGTGCAGTGCATGCTGGCTGTAAATCAGTTACAGTTAGCGACTAGGGAGACTTGGGTAGCAGTAACGTAAGTAACCTAGATGACTTAGCTCTATTGGATATTGAAGGTGTATATGAATACGAATGATTCGTACAAGTAAAAAGAAAAAAAAAAGGTCGACAGGTTGTGCACGATATCCCGGACTGCCCGGACACTATTCCGTGCTCATTTCAGTCGGTCCGAATCGTAGGTGCGACGAAAGTATGTGATGAAATGGTTCAAGTTTTTACAAGATATTATTATTATTTATTGTGAAATTTTGCCGCCCATAAAAAGTGCTGCCCCCACTACGCTACGCCACTGTTCTTCTGCCTTGTGGCCTAGAATTGTTGACAACTGACTACCATCTGTTACGTGCCCTGCAGAACTATAATTCCAATATACAGTTCAATGACAATACTTGACACTTGGACACTTAGTTCAAAGAAAGCTGCAGTCATTCTACGCTCACCAGATTAAAAGTTGGCAGCAAAATTGAGAAATGCAATGGATATTGACGGTGATTACATGCACGAATGAACTGGAATCGTTGTTGAGTTGTCAGCAAGCTATTTTTCAAAATGTCAAAATTTCGTCTCTTTAATGACTAAAATCCACGCCTACGTCCACTCCACTGACTTGTGTCCCTCCCGCTCGATGTTCCTCGTTTCCGCGTGTTAATCCGCGAATAAAATAGATTAACTGGTGTCAGGAAAACAACTTCCAGGGGATGTTACGAACTCCTGGTCTAAATTAAACATCTTAGGAAGTAATCCATTGACAAGGAGGCCGGATCTTAAGATCGTGTGCCGATTAAGTGGTACACAAGTTCTGTCAACGTAGTACCCCGGCTTATCTCACATTAATATAACGTTTTTCTTTTTAAATATGCATATTTACATGTATAGAAATGCAACAGTAGCGTCCCGTCATTGGAAGCGGTGGAAGCGCCACTTCCCTTGTATTTTCTAAAAAATAAATACATATTCCGCGATTATTTTCATATAATTAAAATAAATATTTTATTATAACCCGCATTATGTATCTTATTACAAATTTCTATACTGCATGTGAAAAAAAACGATAAGATCGCTATCGTATATTCGAATATTAGTAGCGGAATGGAAGCGCTGTATTGTCAGCTTCCAAACAGCCAGATTACACTCATTCGCGCATGAGCTTTACAGAGCACCAACCTCACCCGGCTTAGCTGGTGGAAGCTACACACGTACTAGCGCTTCCAAAGATTCTATCCCGGACCGGTTCTGGGCTGTTAGCCGCCTGCCCGCTAGATATTTGGCCGCCCTCGTCCCATTATGTGAATCGCGAATAGGTTTATAACTTAACCCAACCGATAAGAATTTACTGGTATGTTTTTACGATAGTTCTGTATAGTTGACAGGAGTTTTTAAAAAATCCATTAAAATATTTTATATTTTTATTCCGCTCTCCCATCTTGTATTACTTACGGATTTCAATGTTAAACCAGTGATATTACGATTTCGTATGTCCCATCTATAAGGGAATGCAGAAAAAAACGTGTACAATTCTTGTACAATGTTAAAAAATTAACTGTTACTTTGGCAGCGTCATTTACAACTAAATTTAATGAATGAGATGCGCAAGGTACAAAAAAAGAAAAAAAAAACAAAAAAGTTCTAGAATTTATTTTCCTTAAATTTACGATTTATGTATCTGTTGTCATAAAAATTTGTCTTTCCACTTTTTTCCGGTATAGTTAATGACTATAGAGACCTTTAACCATCTTGTCAAGTGAGCAGGTTTTATGACCTGTTGTCTGAACAGGGAGGTGCGACTGACCCCGACCTTCCCGGCGGTTCACACTCGTAACGCCAGACCCTAAGCTTACGCTAAATCAGGGGTCATCTCAAAATCTTACCAGATAAAATTCTGCCAAGACAGAATCCTACCATCCAGGAGAGTTTAGGCATAGGTTAAGTTATACCTATAACTACGAGTATCACGCCGTCTATAACTTCTAGAACTGACACTTCTCTAGAATCTCGCACGATTTAAACTTCCATCGCCCGGATTATTCGACAAAATAACGTAATGTACTGTACAGATTTGAATCGTAATTAAGGTTATTTTGAATTTTAACAATAGTAAAAACGTTATGAATTTCTTGCGATTTTGAAATAAACTCACGAGAAATCAAATAAAAGCATTTATTAGACAACCAAAATGTGTACAAAGATTATAATCACATTCACATGAAAACACGATAAAATTAGACTGGACCTAAGTTCTTAAATTCTTAAAGCCAATACAGTCGCGGAAATATCTCCTTAAAGGGTTTTTGAATTGATTGAAATTGCAAATTATTCCAGAAATATTCCTTCTGTCCGTCTTCTCTTTTCTGTATTAACATTTCTTGTATTCCTTAGACATTTAATGGATTTAGATAGTGTTCCAGATTTGAAAATGCCGAAGATTTAGTTCTAGATCTTCTCAATTTTACATAATACGGAGCATATTTCCGTCCGCATTTGACACATATCGAAAGAAAACGTTGATCAGGAGTGACGTAATGAAAATGGGCACAACCAGGAAGCGTCAAATTGGAGAATGGACACAATTCGGGAGTCGAAATTCGAGAATGGACACGGTATAAAAGCTAAAATTAGTGGATAGACACAATTCGGTAGTCAAATTCGAGAATAGTTACAATTTCTGAGAGTCAAAATGGGTGAAAAGTCAAATTCGATGAGTGACGTTAAAAAAGACTCAATCTGTCGTCAAATTTATTTATTTTGGAACTGTTTACTCTTTTATATTTTCAGTTTTAAGAGCAAATAATGAACGAAATAAATAAAGAAAATAATGAAAAACTATGTACAAAGAGACCGAAATCTCTGAATTTCTTCAAAGATCTGTGAAAATAAAATGAAAATTATTAAGATTTTCACCTACAAATTTCAATCATTTAAATCATTTTTAAAATAATAATCTTATTTTTTTTATTAACAAACCGATTAAATAAAATTGTTACTTAAATAGGTTTCTTCTACTTATATCATTCTCATCTAGCTTCGTAATAAATACGTGAAACACAAGCAAATAGTATAGTTTCTAATACAGTAGGGCTCAAGAGAAAAACATGGACTCACGTGGATGGGAACTATCTCGTCTCACGTGGAAAATAGTGTTTCGGTGAATCGACAATTAAAATAAATTTACTCTTACAGACCTCATCGTTTTCTAAAATTAATTTTCTAATAAAATAAAAGACATTTCAGGAAAGACAAATGACCTTTCTGGTCTCTTCCTGACAGCGCCTTCGTTAGGAAATTATATGATTAATTAACTAGCGATTTTAGGATGTTCGAGGCCTTAGCTATAGGCTACATTGAGTCATGAGGCCCCTTCATATAAATGTATATGTTACCGCTAAAGCTCGAAATCCGTTAATGTGCGCATTACCTAGCTAATCTGCAAATTAACTAGGGTGATCCGTTAAAGCTGCGAAAATTATTCCATTTCTCAAATTACCTAGGTAATCTGCAGATTAACTAGGGTGATCCGTTAAAGCTGCGAAAATTATTCCATTTCTCAAATTACCTAGGTAATGTTCAGATTATCTAGGTAGTAAAGTTCACATCACCACATACACCATTTAAAATTCAAACTTATATATATATTGAAATAAACGTATGTACAGTTACAAAGGTTCACAAAACAAACATTTACAAAACGTTAATCGTAACAAAGTTCAACACATTTATCCACTACAACAGGTCCGTCGAAAAGACACCTTGCAACGAACTAACTCTAGTCCTTTACAGTCCAACGAGACGAGACAAGCTTCGGGACCAGCTTAGGCGAACTAAGACCAAACGTGAGTCCACTTTCCGTGTCCACAGTGAACTGAACTTCCCGCCACAATTCAATCCTTTTATAGGATTAAAGCAGAATTGGATTCCACCAATCAGAACTTAGCAGCTCTACAAGACGTCTGCCGATGGCGTGATGTCGCTCAACCAATGAGCGGTCGAGTCTTCAAAAGTGGTCTGATCGCTGTTTCTATGGCGACAACCGTCGTTAGTCGAACGATTGGAAAAGCGCGGGAAAAACCGAGTGCCAGACGATTTTTATCCCGACACCTCCACGGCCGACGATCAAACTGCGCTTACTTAAGCCTGTTTGATTCCCTTCACAACACCAAACAATCTTACAAAAATCGGCCGATGTCGGACTGACCCATACATTCCTCACCACCCGGCAGCCCCATTGTGGGCCTGGCAGAACCCATAATGGGCTTGCAAAAAGAGGCCCTCTTAGTGCCCACACGGCGGAAAGAGTTAAAAAATATATATATATGACCCATACATCCGGAACATCCGGGAATTTTACCCGTCTACGCGCAGAGATGCCTTTGTTACCAGTGCCCAATAACCACTTTCGTAAAGCTAGCGAAATCCGGTATGGGTTAAACCGTTTCGGGATCCACACTCCCGTGTGTCCAGATGTTTTTCTTCTTCGGTCTACTACCGAAAATCGAGTTGTAATCCTTCGGCACGTCATCAAGCTCGGTCTGTGCCGATGTCGGGGGAAGCAGAGGAACTCCCCTTACTCTCCCGTCCCCTCGTCCGCGATCGTGCAGCTGTCACGGGGACAGAGTTTGATCCAGTTCCCCGAATCTCCCATCGGAATCAAGTACCACTCCTACAGCGAAACTTCGCTTTTCTACTACATCCGGCCATTCCCACCGGACATCTAATTTGTCATCCGGGGAAGACTTTTCCACGAGAACCGTATCCCCAATGTTATATTCCTTTGGCCGTGCTCTCAAGTTGTAATGCATTGCATACTCTTCTCGCTTTTCGGCCGTATGCTTAGTTGCAATATCGTGGACTGCTTTGATCCGATCCATCTCTTCATTCCCTACTTTTAACATACTGGTCATTTCACGCGTCAATCCTGCGGTGAAATTTGTTTCCTGATTGCAACCAATTAGTTCGGGGAAACCCGTTCGCGTAAAAGATTGCAAAAATACCAAACAAGTGGCTGTCACTGAAAGTGCTCTCATCCCTTCCACTTCTGACCTTTGGGTGCATAAGCCAATTATGCAAACTGTGTATCGATGACCATTAGATGACAAGGGATCAATCGGTATAATCATGCCTATGTTAACCACTTGAAACGGGGTTAAGAATCGAGTAAGTGGTGTAACTGGGGTCCTATCTAAGACTAGATCAGACGCTCTTACTAGGCACCTATGACTATTCTGGCAGTACTTCCAGATATCGGTCGCCATTCCCGGCCAATAGAAGCTCTCGCAAACGCGACTTGCTAATTTCCGACTGCCAAACTGTCCACCGCACGGAGCTTTGTGTGCTAAATCTAACACTTCCATTCTCCGTTCTTAAGGAACATCTACCTGATTAATGAGCCTGCCGAACGAACTATCTTGCCGATATAGTATCCCGTCCTCTACAACTAGCCCATCTTCCTTATCCTCAACGGCCTCCCACAATCGAGAAAGTGACTCGTCCCGGACTTGAGCGTCTCGTAATTCTGTTTCTTTCTCATTTTCGCCGCTATTCTACTACACCCCGCCTCTGAGAGAGGTTCCGGTTCCTTTTCCTGATGGTTTCCGTTACCATCCACCCTCAAGCTCCTTACCTGCCTTCCTCCCTTTTCCTGGAGTTTCTCTTTTCGGTCTAATAACATCCGGTAATCCTCCTCCGATAACAAGGCATCTGTGGTCTGGTCTAACTCGTCCGTTAAGGCGCAAGTCACCAGTTCCGACCTTCGCGACCCTGCGAAGTCTTCCTCCCACAGCCCTATCGGGATCGTTACCGAATCAAACCGGTGTCCGAAGGATCCAACCTGTTGGATTTCCTCCTTCGTTTCCGCCACCAATGATTCCCTTATGACCGAACTCTCATCCCCAGAATCGACCATAGCCGAGAGACTATTTCTGTTGCCTACCGGCTTGATTCTTTTCGGCGCCTCCTTGACCTTTGGTTGGTCACACGCTGTTACCTTCGCTACCAAAAGTTCGTCTGTTTGGGATGTCTTGTTCGTAGTTACTAGCCGTGCCTGTTTGGACTCATTGGATGCCTTCCGCTTAGGACAAGCTCTCCTCCAGTGCCCAGCCCTTCCACAGGCATTACAATTAACCTTGGGGGTCCGTTTGACAAAACTCTGTGCCGGGGGAATGGGTTTCCTCATCATTCCTCACTGAGAGTCCCGACGCTCTCCAACCTCCTCGCTATTACCGGCCAACCTACTACCTGACACCTCTCCAAACTTCTCTGTGACCTTAGCTACTTCTGCAGGCTTGCTCCATCCCAGGTGCCCCGAGTTTTCTAATTTCCCCTTGACAACCTGACCTGCCGAGCTCCGTGCCTCAAAGAGCCGCTTTTCTTGCTCTAATAAGCGTTTTGCTTCCCTTAACTCGAGCTTTCCTCTCCTTGGATTCCGCGAGCCTCCTTTTGGCCTCAGACTCAATTTCCGCGAGTTTAACCCGTAGTCTAAGCGCTTCAATGTCCTCCCAAGATTCGTCTCCTGGCACTTCTGCCTTTCGTCCCTTGATCGGCCCATCATCTTCCCAATCTCTCATTTTCAACCCACGCGATTTCGTGCGTTTAGGCATCTCTGCGCTAGCGAGTAAAATAAAGATTTACCTGGGTCAATGATTGCTGGTGTTGTTCTGTCCTTATGTCCGTCGCACATCAGCCTTTCCGATCCGTGGTAATCCAAAATAATCCTGTCGAGACTGCGCATGTAAAGTTCAAATATCACCACATACACCATTTAAAATTCAAACTTATATATATACTAGCAGGTGGGCCCGGCATTGCTCGGGCAAAAGTAACGATAACTAAGATAAAGATTATTACGTTACAGTCAACCTTACCCGTTTTCACAGAATGCAAGAATAGGGGCCCCTTAGAGAATTTTTAGATGGGTCTAAAAATATGTTCGATTTCCCGCAAAAACTGCATCTGCGTATCGCACGTCGCTTTCTCTTAACAATTCCATTGTTACGTAAGATTTCCATTGTTGACACTTCCATTGTTACTTAGCACTTCCATTGTTACCTAACACCGCCATTGTTACTTAACACTTCCATTGTTGATGGAAGTGTTAAGCCTTAATCCTGTCTTTCTCCCCCCGGGAGGAATTTCGAAAAATCCCTTCTTAGTGTGCGTTTTCATGACAAACCCTAACTGTGTACCAAATTTCAGCTTCCAACTCCTAACCGTTTGGGCTCTGCACTTATTATTATTATCAACCCGTCTCAATTATATTATAGATTGAAATAAACGTATGTACAGTTACAAAGGTTCACAAAACAAACATTTACAAAACTTCAGATGTTAACAAAGTTCAACACATTTATCCACTACAACAGGTCCGTCGAAAAGACACCTTGCAACGAACTAACTCTAGTCCTTTACAGTCCAACGAGACGAGACAAGCTTTGGGACCAGCTTAGGCAAACTAAAACCAAATGTGAGTCCACTTTCCGAGTCCACAGTGAACTGAACTTCCCGCCACAATTCAATTTTTTTTATAGGATTGAAGCAGAATTAGATTCCACCAATCAGAACTTAGCAGCTCTACAAGACGTCCACCGATAGCGTGATGTCGCTCAACCAATGAGCGGTCGAGTCTTCAAAAGTGGTCTGATCGCTGTTTCTATGGCGACAACAGTCGTTAGTCGAACGATTGGAAAAGCGCGGGAAAACCGTGTGCCAGACGATTTTTATCCCGACATAGGTAATCTGCAAATTACCTACTAGGCACTCGGTAAAGTGAAAATAAGATTTTTGCTGGAACAGCAACGTTTCTGTACGCTTAAATTAACATAATGTTATTTATTTAATTTTCAATATCTAAGGCTGTGTACACATTAGGCGTTGGACGAGCGTTTAGCGGAGCGTGCGCACTGGCTCGGTTTGAAAATGGATGTGGAAGTGATTGCTTGTGTGTGGCTCCTCTATTGTCGCTATAAAAGACGACGGCAGAGGCAAAGAGAATTTTGGGTGCACCCAATATTACGAGATAGACTGACGCATGAAATGTTTGCGACGTTGTATCCAAAACTAAGACAAAATAAATTCAAGTTTTTTAATTCTTTTAAAATATCTATAAAATCCTTTGACGATGGTTGGTC